GAACTTGAGAAATCTGCCTGAATGAAGTGCTCTGGTCAACTGGGGACTGCGTTGTTAATTTCAATGGTCAGTTTTCAGCCCGTTGGCAGCACAGTTCACAGGACGCCTCTTCTCTGGAACACTCTCCTGCCTTGGCTTCCCACCTCCCAGCTGGCTCCTTACCTCCTGCGTGTTTCCTCCTCCCCTCTTCTCCTTGGGTCCATCCTCAGGCTTTCTCTCCCATAGCCACCCCCAGGACAGCCCCATTCTACTTGCACATTAATGTCCATCTAGATTAATGCTGTCCAATAGAAATAGCATGCAAACTTCTTGGGCAATTTAATATTTGGGGGTACCTACATTTTTTTTTAAAGAAAACAGTAAGGTAAATACTGTATTTTATCTAAGCAAATATATCCAAATTATTCCATTATCATTCCAACTTAAAAAAAAAAAACAATAATGAGCTATTGCAGTTTTTTTTTTTCATCCTAAGCCTGTGAAACCCAGTGTGCATTTTACGTGTATGTGCTGTGTAGTGGCTCAGTTGTGTCCAACTCTTTGCGACCGCAAAGACTGTAGCCCGCCAGGCTCCTCTGTCCATGGGGATTCTCCAGGCAAGAATACTGGAGCGGGTTGCCGTGCCCTTCTCTAGGGGATCTTCCCAACCCAGGGGTTGAACCCCAGTTTCCCGCATTGCAGGCACCACCAGGGAAGCCCTTTTACGTGTATAGTCCATCTCAATCAGACCAGCTGCATTTCAAGTGCTCAGTAGCCACATGTGATGCCTGGCCACTGTGTGGGGCAGCTAAGGTTTCTACACTGATTCTTTCCAACCCATACCTCCAGCCCAGACCTCACATTTCAGTGGACACTTACTCATACGGAGGCCCGAGGGCCATCTCAAACTCCAGACTTCCAAAGCTAAGCTCCTGCTCTTCCCCCGACCAGCTCCACCCACAGCCTTCCTGCCTCTATTAATAGCAGCTCCAGCCTTCCAAGGCTCAGATCAAAATCTTCAAAGTGACCCTTGACTCTTCTTCCCCCTCCAACTCTCCCCACTAGTCCGATCTATCAGCAAATCCTATCTGTTCTGTCGTCACAATACATCCAGAATCTGACCACTTCCCACTTCCTCCACTGCCACCACTTGGTCCAAGCCACCAACACCTCTCACCTAGATAACTCCAGTCACCTCCTCTCTGGTCTTCCTGAGTCCACTCTTGCCTTGGGCCCTACCAAAGACACAAATCCCAGAGTGATCCAGTAAAAACATAAGTAAGCACCTGTCACACTTCATAACCCGTCAATACCACCCATAGTGAAAGTTCAAGTCCATAAATTTCAACACATATAAACACATCCCTGCCTCAGGACCTTTGCACTGTCTGTTCCCTTGGCCCAGATGGACTTTCTCATAGATATCTACAAGGTCAATGCTCTCATCTCCTTTGAGTTTTTGCTGAAATATCACCTTTTAATTGAAGTCTTTCTTAATCTTTCTATTTTATTTATTTGGTTGCACTGGGTCTTTGTGGCTGTGAGCAGCCTTGCCGTAGTTATGGTGAGTGGAAGCTATATTCTTGTTGTGGTGCATGGGCTTCTCATTGCAGTGGCTTTTCTTTTGCAGAGCACGAGCTCTAGGGCACAGGCTCAGTAGTTGTGGCTTGAGGGCTTAGTTGCTCTGTGATACACAGAATCTTCCCAGACCAGGAATCAAACCCATGTCCCCTGCATTGGCAAGCAGATTCTTATCCACTGTACCACCAGAAAAGTGAAAGTGTTACTCACACAGTCATGTCTGGCTGGGCAACCCCATGGACTATAGTCCGCCAGGCTCCTCTGTCCATGGAATTCTCCAGGCAAGAATACTGGAGTGGGTAGCCATTCCTTTCTCCAGGGAATCTTCCCAACCCAGGGATTGAAACTGTGTCTCCTGTATTGTAGGTAGATTCTTTACCATCTGAGCCACCAGGGAAGCCCCTTAATCTTCCTATTTTAGATTGCCACTTTCTCCTCATCTCCTACCTCTCCTTTATTCTCTTTTATTTCTAATACATAAATAATTTACTGATGTATTTTATTGACTGACTGCCTCTACCACTGGAATGTCAGCTCTGCGAGGCCAGGAAATTTTGTCTTTTTGTCTGTTTTGTTCACTATTCCTCCCCAGCAGTGTCCACATGCATGGTGTCTAGCCCGTGTTAGGCATCCATAAATATTTGATGGAGAAATGAATAAACATTCAGTACCAAGTGGATAGTCATTTGAACCAAGACTATTTATTGAATTCTGTTTTTTTGAAATGTCACCTTTATTATAAACTAAACTTTCATGTAAACATGGAACTGTTCCTTTCCGTTGATTGATTTATCTAATCTCATTCCAATACTACACTTTTAATTACTATGGCTTTATATTCTGCCAACTGTTAGAGCTATTCACCTTTGAAATTTCTTTTTTAATATTACTACACATTTTCTTTTTCATATGAGCTCTACAAGTGGACTATCACATTTGACAATAATTTATGCCAGGAACTTTATTGAGACTGCATAGATTTATTAATTCACTTAAGAATTATTTCAATATTGTCATCACAGCCAAAATATATCTCTCCATTTTTTAATATAAAACTACTAGAGGAAAATATTTTCATATTCTCTGAATAGGAACAAGACATGAAACCCAGAAGCCAAAATTTAACATTTCCATGTCAAAAAGATTATCAGCAGACTGGGAGAAAGATGATTAATATCCAAAATATATAAAAATAGTCCATTAGAAAAACGGACAAGAAATATAAACAGACATTTCACAGTAGATGAAATTTAAATGGCCAATAATCATATATTTTTTTAAGTTTACATTCAGTAATCAGGTAAATGAAAATTAAAATAGCAATGAATTTTGTTTTGTTTTTGGCCTGACAAATTGGCAAAAATTAAGGAGATTGATAATATTGAGAGATGGTAAAGATGTAACTAAAGAGTACTCTCATACAATGCTGGTAAAGGCATACATGACTCAAGATTTGAGAGAACAATTTGTTAATATCTACTAAAATTTAAAAAAAATGTTCACCCAACAACTCTCCTTCTAGGGCTTTCTTTACCAAAAAGACTCACTTGAGTGCACAGAGACGTGTGTGAGGATGTCTATTACCTTGTTTATAATAGAAAGCATTTTTGAAAAAGCATACATGTCCATCAGTCAGAGATTGGATAAATACTTATAGCACAGTCAAACTATGAAAGCTTGAATAGGTACTTAGAAATAGTGAGGTAAAGCTATAAAAATCTATACAGATCACAAAAAGATCTCCGTAACATACTGTCAAGTACAAAGAAGCAAGTCAGAACAATAAACGTGGTATGATACTATTTACATAAAAGATAATTAAGATATCTGAAAAACTGGCAAAAGGCTTGAACAGACACTTCTCCAAAGATACACTAATGTCCAAAAAGCATGGGAAAAAATGCTCAACATCATTAGCCAAGAGGGAAATGCAAATCAAAATCACAATGAGATAACCACTTCACACCTACTAGGAAAGCTATATTCGAAAAGGCAGATGACAGCAAGTGTTGGTGAAGATGTGGAGAAATGAGAGCCTTCATATATTGCTGGTGGGGATGTAACTGGGTGCAATCACTTTGGAAAACAATCTGGCAGTTCTTTAAAAGGTTAAACATGGAGTTACCATATGACCCAGAATATACCCCAGAGAAATGAAAACAACACACAAAAACTTGTATATGAATGTATGTAAAAGCATTATTCACTATGGCCAAGAAAGTAGAAACCCATACGTCCATCAACTGATGAATGGATAAGTAAAATGGTATAGCTATAAAGTGGAATATGATTGGGCAATACAAAGGAAAGAAGTATTGATGTATGCTACAGCAAGAATTAAAGTGAAAACATTATCCCTAAGTGAAAATGCTTATTCACAAGAGACCACCTATTGTATAGTTTCACTTATATCAAATATCCAGAACAGGCAAATGCCATAGGACTAGAAAGATTTGTGGTTGCCTGTTGCTGCTGGTCTTATCGCCAATCAGTGTCTGACTCTTGCCTAGGGCTGAGGAAAGAGGGGACTGGAGAGTGGCTGCTAGTAGGTATGGCAGTTCTTTGAGGGGTGATGAAAATGTTGCAAAATTGGTGTGGTTGCACAACCTGAACATACAGAAAACCACTGAACTGGACACTCTAGTGGGAGAACTGTATGATATGCAAATTATATCCCAATAAAGCTGTTTTTTTAAATTAAAAGATAATTAAGATTTTTGCATGTGATACTTTCTAACTAACTAATCACATCCATGGGCGTAGACTCCTGCCCACAATCCAGTCTCCTTTAAAATCATGGTGAATAATCCATGATGGACAAAATACCAACATTCTAAATAAAACAGTATACTATTCCCAATTTTTCTTTAGCCATAGGCTCCAACATGGCTCAGTTGAGCAGTTACTGATCTCGTCTTTAAAACGTTGGTATTTTCTTCACCACTGAATATTTTGCATTAATTTTTCTTTTTTAAAACTATTGCATTAAAGTATTTTTTTAATCTTGGTTTCTGAGAGGTGTTTTTTTTTTCCCCTGATGCTCCTTAAGTTCTGCACCCAAGTGCCTCATTCGCCCCACCTGTGTCTCGGTCCTGGATCCCAGAACTCGTGCCTCTGGCCTTGGCCTTGGCCCCAAAAGTCCCACCTGGGACGCCCAGGCTTTCAGCCGCTAGAAAGTGGGGGCGGGAAGCTGCAGCGTCGTGTCCCAGGCTGTGGACAAAGGCCTGGGACAGCTAAGCCGTCCTCCCCAAGACCTGGACAGAGAGAGAGAGAAACAGGAGATGTAGGAGGAGACCGAACCAGAAGAAGGGGAGAGAGAGAGAGAGAGAGAGACAGAGGAGACTGGAGAGTCGGGGCGCGCCGGGAGAGGCGGAGAGGAGCCGGGTGGGCGCGAGCCCGAAGGTCGCCCCTCCCCGCGTCCAGACCGCCCTCGCCCCCACCCCCAGCGCGGGAGGCCCCGGAACGACCGCCAGAGGCGCCCGGGGGAGGGGGCGCTCCCGGCCGCCCGCCGCCTGATGCGTATCGATCGGCGCCCGGGGTCGGCGCGGGGGCACCAGCTGCTGGCGGGCGGGGCGACCGCACATTAGCGCGGCCGGGGACCACTCCCCGGAACGCGGGCCGGGCAGCCCATTAGACGCCCCCGGCCGGCCGGCCGCGCGACCACCGAGCGGGCGGGGCGAGGCTGGCTCCGCCGAGGCGGCCCCTGCGGCGGGCGAGCGGCTGCGGGGACGAGAGGGGATGCAGGAGTCTCCGAAGCCCCACCTCGGCCCAGGGCCGCAGTTTCCTCTGTTTCCTGAACTCCCCTCCGTCCTCTAGGCCTTTGCACGTGCTGTGCCTTCTTCGGGGACGCGCCCCTCATCGCTCCTCACCCAGCTGAACGTCACTCTTCCTTGGCCTCTTGCTAGGAAGTAGATTCCTTGGGAAGTCTTCCCTGATCCCCACCCCACCCCACCGCGACAAAGGGCGCCCACCTTTGTACCGACCTCCTGAACTGCCCCCATGAAACCTGGGGGCTAGTCATTGGGATCAAGGATTGACCACCCCAGAGGGTCTGTGCTCCTGATGCCAAGAGCCAACTCACTGAAAAAGACCCTGATGATGGGAAAGACTGGGGGCAAGAGGAGAAGTGGGCAACAGAGGATGAGATGGTTGGATGACATCACTGACTCAATGGACACGAGTTTGAGCAAACTCCAGGAGATAGTGAAGGACCTGGAATCCTGGCGTGCCGCAGTCCAAAGAGTGCAGCAACTTAGTGACTGAACAACAAAGAGGGTCTGTGAGTCTGGGGTACGGGGGACGCAGCTGGGCTTCTCCCTGGGTAGTATATTGGGGATCCTGACAGCAGCAGTGCCCCCCAACTGGCACACCTGTAATGAAGGAATCAACACCAGAGCTAATCAGGAGGCCAAATCTGGAAAGCCCAGGAGGATCTTTGGCTATGACCTCTCCTCCCCTTATTTATCCTTGGAGGACACTGTTGGGCAAATCAGAGTCCATTCTATTTCTTCTGCTTAATGGCTGCATCACCATGGGCAAGTTGTTAACCTCTCTGGATGCGCATTTCCCCATTGACAGCTTATCAAGGTCTGTATTCTAATTCCTGCTCCTGCAGGAAACCCCCAGAGATCTGTACCCAAGCTGGAGAGGGGACTGGAAACCCCAAAACGTGTGGTTGCAAAGAGCTTGAAATGCTCCAGTGGGGAGTGGGGCATGCAGGAGAAAGAGTTCACCCTCACATGCTGCTGGGGAGCGGTGTCGGGGATGGGAGACTTTCTGGCCCCAGTGACTTCCGCGCTATCTTAGGACTTTTTCTCATCAACCTCATTTTTCTCCTATGTGTCACTTCTTCCTTGACCTCACTTCCCCGGCCAACTACCACCCTATTCTCTGCCCCTTACCCAGTAAGATTCCATGAAAGAGGTCCCTGAGCCCACTCGTCTCTAGTCCCTCTCTTCCCATTCTCTTCTGAACCCACGCCATGCAACTGCTTTGGTCCAAGGTGCCAGTGACTCATGTCGCTAAGCCCAACAGCAGTCAATTCTTAGCTCTCGATTTACTGGCCCCCACCAGTGCTCTGGACCCAGGTGGTCACTCTCTTCTCCTTGGAACCCTTTCCTCCCTCCGCTGGTTCCCTCCCAGCTCCCCAGATGCTCCTTCCTGTCTCCTCTGCAGTATCAGAACCTCAGTCTTCTGACTCTTTTCCTTGTATCCCCCTCCCTCCATGATCCCTCCTCCCAGTACCATGGCTCTTTGAATACCAATAGTTTGTATATGCTGACACTCTGTATTGCTGACACTTCCCAAATGTGTCTCTCTGGCTCACACCTCTCCCTAGTGCTCTGGTCTTATCCATACATCTATCACTCAACATCTTCACTTGGGCAACAGGCAGACCTGCGTCTAACTCATACAGCCCTTTGCAGTTAGAAGAAAGTACTTTTCTTAAGTATTTAACAAAGCAGCTTCATACTATGTATTATTCTGTCTGACTGTAGGCAGGCTGGCCAGGAGAAAGCAGAACAGACCTGCCTGTTCCAGGTTCTGCTGGGCAACCCCAAACTCGCTCTTTTATAAAGGAGGGAGATGGGAGGGGGAGACAGGGAGGGAGCACTGGCTCTGGGATTTAATCAGCAGCATCCACCTTAAGTTCATCTGAATGGCAGGTCCATGAATCAGACTTCTTGTTAAATCTGTGGCCACAGCATATGAGTCTTGTTAGGAAGCGGTGAATCTTCTGGAGCATGGCTGTGCCCCATTACATACCCCCTCTGCTTGGCCTGGATCTGCTCGGAAGGACTTTCCTGGGGCTCATATCCACACTCTTGCCCACTTGTACCCAGGCACTCAGGCAAGTCGCACAATGAACCCTCCTTCCATCACCCCCGCCCTATGAGGCGGCTGTAGCAGGTTTAGGGTTGGGTGGGGGTAGGGGGTGGAAATCAGGTTCCTAAGAGAGTTTGGTAAACAAGAAGAGCAGCCTCAGGGGATGCCCTGAGCATGACTGCAACGGGACACAGTCCTTCATGCATGTCAGGATCTAGAAGTTAGACAAGTCTACGAATAGGATGAAACCTTCTTGGAGATGCTGCCCTTGTACAGTGTACAACCTGTGCAACCTTACATGGCAGTCCTACTAACAGGTCCCTGTATTATTCAGCATAGGTTAAATTATGTTGTGATGGCAAATAACATCTGAATTTCAGTGTGTCTTAGAACAACAAACATTTATCTCTTTGTGATGACACATGTCCAGGGCAGGTGGGCAGAGGGCTCTCCTCCACTTAGGGTCCCAGGTTGATGGAAGTTCCACCAAATTCCAGAGAGAGCCTTGGCAGGAGACCAGAAGAGCTGGAAGTGATTAAAGCCTCAGCCCGGAAGTTAAACATTTCACTCCTGCCCACAACTCTCTGGCCGGAGTTCATCCCATGGCCATGTCTAACTTCAACGGAGCAGCAAGTACCATCCTCCTGTGTGCCAAGTAGAGAACAGGATACCAGGCTGGCAGTGATGGTCTCCAGGTTTTCTCAGCTGTTCTAAATACATCTCCTCTTCTCCAGGGTTCAAGATACAGACTTTGGAGGCATCCATGATTCCCCTTTCTTTAAAAAAAAAATTCCACAGCCAAGTGATTTGCAAATCCTGTCAACTCCATTTTCAAAATATATTCAGAAGGAAACTATTTCTTCCCCCGCCCCACCCCCCCCACACACATACCACCAAGCTGGTCTGAGCCTCTTTTATCACCAGCCCTGCTGCCACAGGGCCCTCCTCACTACCACTTTTGCCTCCTATAGAGATTCTCCACCCAGTAGCCAGCGGGATCCCATTAGAGAGAAGCTGGACCACATCACTGCTCGGCTCAAAGCCCTCCGTCCCTCCCATCTCCCTCAGAGAAAAGTAAAAGTCCTTACAGTGGCCCTTGGAGCCCCAAGATCTGTACCCCCTCCATTACCTCTCTGACCTCGCTGCGCCACCCTCCGTCTCTCACTCTAGTCCCGCCCCGCTGGCCTCCTTGTGCTCCCTGGACAGACGGCTCACTCCAGCCTCAGGACCTTTGCGCTTGCAGGTCTCCATCTAGCATACTTTCCCCTCAGATCCCAGCCTAGCTCCCTAGCTCACCTCCTTCAAGACTTTGCTCTAATGTCTCCTCTGTGAGGCCTTCCCCAACCTCCTTATTCTACATTGCACATCCACCTCTGTGTTCCCATTCTGTTGTTTTCGTTTGCTTGTTTTTGGCCCGGACACTTTCTAACTTCCAAAAACACAAGGATTTCACGGATTGTGTTTACCATCTGTCTCCCCAGCTAGAAGATAGGGCAGAGATTTTTATCTGTCTGGTTCTCTGCTGTGTATTTATCATCTGCAATAGTTCCTGGCATATATAGTAGGTGCTCAGTAAACACTGTGGAATGGATGAACAAACCAAAGCATGGTATAGTGACTGAGAGATCAGGCCCTGGAACCAGACTACAGGTAGTGTTCAAAGACCAGCTTTGCCATTTACTATCATGTGATTTGAGATAATTCATTTAGCTTCCCTGACCTTCGGTTTGTTCATCTGTACAAGGGAAATAACAATAGCTCCTACCACGTGGAATTATACATTTCAGTGAGCTAATGCATTTAAAGCTGTCCAATACCTGGCAAAGATATGCTTGGCATATGTTGGCTATTACTATTTTGAAATATTGATCTTCTAATTTTATAAAGAAATAGAGATTCTGATTATGGGGCAAAGATTTACATAAAATAGTGTTCATCAAAGAGTTCTTTTAATAGTAAAAAATTGGAAACAATCTAAATTTCTAAGAAGGTAAGAGTTGTTAAATAAAATACGATACACCCTTTGAAGGAATACCAGGCAGCCAAATATTCAAGTTCTCAAAGAATATTTAATGGCATGGGGAAATGTTCAGAGCCTACTGCTAAGTGAAAAAACAGTATATAATTCTTAAATTGAGTGGTGGATACCCGGCTGTTTTATTATGGTTCTTTAAACTGTACATATACTTTTATATGTATTAAGCAATTCATAAAAATGCAGGGAAGGAAGATACAAAGATACCTTATCCCAATTTAAATGTACATGTTTTTATGCACCTTCCTGGGCTTCCCTGGTGGCTCAGATGGTAAAGAATCTACCTGCAATGCAGGAGACCTGGGTTCGATCCCTGGGTTGGAAAGATCCGTGGAGAAGGGAATGGCAACCCCACTCCAGTATTCTTGCCTGGAGAATCCCCACGGACAGAGGAGCCTGGTGGGCTACAGTCCATACAGTTGCAGAGTCAGACATGGCTGAACAACCAGGCACAGCCCAGCACAGCACATGCACCTTCCTACACTTTTACACATTCAGAGAAAATAAAGAGACTGAGAAAGAATGCACCAAAACGTTAACAGTGGTTCCTGCTGGGTATTGAAAGACTTAAACAATCTTTCCTATTCTTTATTATATTTTCTAGATTTCTTGCAATGAACATGAAAAAACTGAAATGCCTTGGTAATCAGGAAAAGGTGGGGATGGGGAAGATTAACGATTCAGGTTAGAGTTTTCCAAACTGTGCATTGGTAGATGATCACCGAAACATAAGTTCCATAAGGTCAGAGAAAGGAGACCACAGTAGGGTGAAGGGAATACAAGAGGTTTCACCAGTGCAGGAATCTCAGAGCCTTTACTGTAGCACAGGTGACGGCTGTCAGTAAGACGGGGGTCTTTG